TATGTGTGTGTTTAAAATCACAGTAAAGACTACAATAATGTAAGCAAATTCAAGAGGATTTACTTGTATTTTTGTATACCATAGTCTTAAAAGACAAAAATTCCTGAATGTCATTTCAAAGCAAAAGTATCAAAATTGTTGAATTTGTATTCGTTTAATGACGTTTAAAAGATGTAAAATAAGAAAAAGCATTTTCGGCATTTAATGTTTTTTTTTTTACTATTGCCAGTGTAAAAGTATTGTATAATTTAAAAAGATATATGCTGTTTATATCGATAAAAGCATTGCACATGATTTTCTCATTTCAAACCGGTTATTTTTTCTGGTGCAAAATGTCCTACCAAATTATCTATTATCGAAAAAAATCATTATAAAAAAGTACTATTCTGTATAAACACATTGCTTTAAAACTTTTCTCAAATTTCGCTACAAATTTTCAGAACAACCCAATATTTTATATGTAAAAAAAATATATGTATATATACATATATTTATATATGTACACGTAAAGTATGTAAATATACAAAAAAAAAATACAATACATATATACATATGTAATATGTGCATATATATGTACATGTAAATTGAAATGTCTCATCACTCCGACATTGACGGAGGAGGTGGTGGTGGAGGTGGCGGAGGTGGCGGTCCACTCGGCAGGGGAGGAGGCGACGGTGGTGGTTGAAGAGGCGGTGGAGGTAACAATTGTGTATCTTCCTGCCGGGTGGACGCAGCCGATTGTACGATATTTTGGTTCTGATAAAATTGATTTGAGAGTAATGACGGCGGTGGCACCGACGTATTGATGGTACCGTCCGGCGTCATTATTAGATTATTTCCTGTCGGATACATCGAGTATTGGGATTGTTGGTGAAATTGTTGATAGTACTGCTGATAGGCGGGATCGTACACGTATCCGGTGGGTGTATTAAATATTGATGTAGGATAATTAGTATAAAAATAAGAATCTATGCCCTGGTCAGTTTGACCAGTCCCTCTCGCGTATCCGCCGACGTCGCCGCGAATGGCCGGGGGATGATGGGAATTATAAGGGGCTTGATGATGTTGATGACCGCGATTACCGTGGCTACCGCGGCCATTACCATAAATCTCCCGCTGGTAGTGACCACCAGCGTTACCGCGCTGACCGGCAACTGCATGATGTAGTGGTCCGCGACCGCCGTGATGCTGACGAACGCCTCTTCCACGTACCTTATTATTGCTGCCGGAGTTATAGTGTCTGCCATTCTGCCGTTCTCCGGGTCGGTGGCCCTGGCCATAACCCGTTGCAGGTATCATCACCGCTTGCTTCTTCGTGGGCGGAAGGCCACTGCTGCCCGAGCTGTCGCCGATCATCTCGACTCGCTCGCGCTTCCGACTCGTAGTTTCGTTCGCGGATGATTCAGAGAGCTGCAGATACGAGGATCCGCTCGAGCCGTTCGACGATGATGACGTCGACGGCGGCTGCGCGGAACTCCTCGAGATGCCGAGATCAGTACGTATCTTGATCTTTAGTGGACCTTGCATCATCGGTGGCTGCGCAGGAGATGAACTCGGTACACTATCGGTGCCCTTGAGTCGTTCCTTGGGGATCTTGATTTTCAGGACCGTGCTCTGTGGCGATATAGTTTTGTCCGATGTACCGAGACTTCCGCCGACCACGGTCGGCGATGCTTCCATGCCAAGATTCAGTTTGTCTTTAGGAATCGTAATTTTGATGGGCGCCGCCGCTGGCGTCTCCTCGCTTTTTTCCTTGTCTTTTTTCTCACGATGTTTCTCTTTACCCTTTCCCTTGTGTTTATGCTTATTATGCTTATTATCCTTACTTTTGTCCTTGCGCTTGTGTTTTTCTTTCTTTTTCTTCTTTTCACTCTTATGATGCTCCGACCGTTTCTCTTCGACTGGCGGAACAATCGTTACTGTGGAAGCTGCTGGCACTGCCAATTCTACCATATTACTATTATTTGGCAGCGTCATCGATACATTATCGGAGAGAACACTGATATCTACGGTCGAAGCTATCGGCGAGAAATTATCGCTCGCTATCGACAAACACTGGGTCGTCACTGGTAACTGATCCATCAACGAATGTTGAATAGACTGTAGCCGATGCTGCTGTTGTTGGTGCTGCAATTGTTCTTGATGCACCTTTTGAATAGGTAATTGGCTAGGTTGTTGCAGTCCCTGCAATAGTGAAGGCATCGGTGCTAGTGTCTCCTGGAGCAATGCGCTTATACTCTGCGCAGATTTGATCGGCGACGTATACTCGAGTTTCGTCTGCGAGTGCGTTTGGGAATGCGTTGGTTCCAAAGCCTTATGTCCTGATGATTCATTCTTCATATAATGCTCTGGAAATTCCTTTTTCCCGCGATGATCCGGAGGCTCTTTGTTTACTACGTTGAGGTCCATACCATTAGTTAGTGTATTGACGTTGAACGAGACTTTATGCTGCGACATCGTGTTGAAACGAGGCTGATCCGACTCGAACGGTTTGATGAGTTCCGGCGGTTTCATATCGTTAATGAAGGATGATGCGCTACTGTTCCTTCCGTTTGACGACGGATTGTCACGTATCGGTTGGATTAGATCAGGTACGCGACCGAGCATCTTCATTGCCTCCAAACTGGTTGTATCTTCCGTCTTGTTTTCTGGTTTTGTTACTACCTTTTCGTTCTCACTGATACTCGATGCACGGGTCCTCTTATGTACGGATACCGTACCGTCGTTGGAAGATGGTCGTTTTATCATTGACGAGTCTTGCAAACTCGGGGAACTCGCGAACGGTGACACGCGTTCCTTCATCTTTGTAGCTGCAGAGGGTGGCGTCTTCTGTTTCGATTTAGGCCTTGCGCTTTGCGCGTGCGATTCTCTGGTCACACTAGGAGGCTCTGGGCTGAATAGTGATCTATGCTTGCCAGGTGGTGTGTGCAGATTGCTCTGTTGAACATCGACGGAATTTCTTTCAACGAATTCCTCGTGGACATTTGATCGTGATCGCTTCTCCGACTTCATATCATCCACATTGTTCAATGTGCTTAGGCAAGACTGGGAATTACCATTTTTAATAGTATCTTTCAGAATCTGAGATACACCCAGTGCACTATGCTGACTGTACATCTGTGTCTTAATGGATGCGGGTTTCTGTGATGACGATGTGCTTGGTGATGTGCCCTGCGGTAGAACATTCTGGCTAGTAGTTGTCGCATGCTTCATTTCACCTGTGAATGAGCTGCCTTTGTCCTGTTGCTGCTGATTATACTTGGCATGATGCGGCTGTTTCTGCTGCGCGTTCATCAGATATGGGATGTCCGCCTGCTTTGGCGGTGGTAATGGTTTTTCGATTAGCTTCCGCACCTCTTCACATCTCTGTTCCAACGTCTCTGCTTTTCGTCGTTGATTCTCCATTCTATTCATATCTGCATATTTGGCAGATTTAAGTCTTGGATCCTCTCCTCGATACAATCTCTTATCGTGCGTCTGATGCTTGCTATCGAGTGCATTCAGTCTATGTCCGCTGTGATTATTACTCATCTTTTCCTGTAAACTACTATGCGAGGATGCAGAATCCTGTACGGCACCACTGTCCGACCTATGAGGCACGGATTCAGACGAGGAACTATCTAAATTGGCATGAGAATGCGAGTGTGTTATACCGCTTGTGCTGGCCACACCAGCACTATGTTCTCTTGACAATCGTTGTCTGTTGGGATCGCGATTAGGTTGATTACCAGTAGAGTGTCTCTGCACTGGTTGACCGACTTTCATATCCGGTCGATGATGATGATTATGATGAAGGCCAGTGCCCTTCTGCACTGGCATTTGGTGCTTGTTCGGTATACTTGCATTCGATACTGGTTTATGATGATGCGAATGGTAGGTCTTGTTAGGATCGGTGATATGGCACCCAATAGCAGCAGCTGCCTTCTCCCGTTCTAAACGCTCTCGTTCTTTCTTTTCACGATATTCTCGATAATCTATTGCGGTTACTCTTGATGGTCCTGCAATAGCTCCAGTTTTCTTTTCATCTTGCTTCTCCTGTTGCGCATGATGAGAACGACTCGAATGAGCAACAGTAGCAGTAGCGGCGGTGTCCATGGTATGATGAGAGCGACTCGAATGAGCAGCGGTGACAGAGGCAGTTGCGGCGTCTGTCGCATGATGAGAACGACTTGAATGAGCAACGGCACCGTCCGTCATATGATGAGAACGACTCGAATGGGCAGTAACACCAGTCGTGGAGGTAGAAACGGTACCATCTGCCGCATGATGAGAACGACTCGAATGGGCAGCAGTGGCAGCGGCAGCACCCGCGGTGCCTTCCGCTGCATGATGAGAGCGGCTCGAATGAGCGGCTGCGGCACCTTCCACTGCATGATGAGAACGATTCAAATGAGCAACAACGGCGGCAGCGGCACCATCTAATGTTGCTGGAGATTGTATTCTACGCGGTTCGGTATCCTAAAGAAAAAAAGATATGAGTTAGAATTCATGTAAGAAGAAAAACAATGCGAAAACATAATCATATGTACGAGTTACTTACAAATGGCGAATTCGGTAGACTCGGATGATGAATACTTGGACTTTGATTCGCAGAAATGATCATAATTTTCCTTTTCAATCTCGATGGACACTTATCAAATATATGAAGAAATTCGTCTGTGAGTTCTTGAAGTAAATCTCCTGTTACAGTTCTATCTACGTACCAAAACCATTGTCTTCCTTCAGTACTTTGTGGTATCTGTGTATGAAAACGATAAGTTATTAAAAATGTATCAATAAATGTTAATGATTATAGAGAATCAAGACAGATATAAATCAACCTAAACAACAAAGACAATACATGTGACATGAATTATTTTATAACTTTTATACTAAGATTATTATTACATATAGCATTTTGCAATTTGCGACAATTTTAAAAGATACATTTGCGCAAATTTTAAAAGATATATACTTCTCTTACCTCCCAATTGGACCATTTACACGCGAGGTGTATGCAAAAACATGCAACAACTGTCGGCTTATATTGTAGACACATTGTAGTTAAATGTAAGCTACAAAAGAAAAGAAATCGTATAAAAAACTACATTAGCATATTAAAATAAGCTTTCATCATTTAATTATTTTAAAGATTTGCATGTTAATAGGAATCATCCTAGTGTATAGAAAAATGGCAACACAATCCGTCAAATGGAAATGGTGACTTATTATTATTTTTGCACAGAGATATGCAAAACAAAATATACATTTGTTTTTTTAAATAATAATTATTTTTATAATTATTATTTTAAATATTATATATTATTCTAGAAAAAAAAAATGAAAATCTCATTCTTTTCCTGATATTTGTGTATAATTTCGCTTTTGTCCAATATTTTGAAAATTATATCTGTGAAGCTCCGTCGATTATCATTTATGTCTTGGTATTTCACAGAAAATAACAAAATGCAGAAAGTGCTAATACATAATAATATAAAAGCAATGAACACTTACCTGTTAGATGCCATAAAGTATGAAGTCTGAGCCAAGTCCTTACTCGCTAAAATATAAAGATATCATTTCAATTTATTTTCAGCATAACGATTTTGTACTGATATAGGGTTAACAAATATCACAATAGCAAAAAGTGGACAAATCCTACAGAAAATGTAAAGGTAGACATATATAAAAGAAAAATTAAAATTTCATAAACTGAAATTTTAATCATGTATATCTTCTTCATTCCCTTATAATATATGTTCAATATTATTTTATTCTAACTTTACATAACAGAACAAATTCAATTCTTAACATACACTTGAAAAGAATGTTACATCAAATTTTATTAAATTTTATTAAAACAAGAGTATGACATATTTATATCATTAATAATCTTATGTGTGAATTAACAAAATTATTTTTAATTGAAATAATGTTGCTATAACATAATTTTTTCAATATATTAATTGATGTTAAAAAAATTTTTTAGAAAATTATATTTTTATGATATATTAACTCTCTTAAGCAATTTGCTTGTTACTCAAAATTTCTTCATAAAATTGGAAATATAATTTGAATATTGTATTCGAAACTATAGATTAAAATTCAAAACATAAAAATAGAATACCTATTACACATTTTATTAAAAAGAAAAAAGACAAGATCAAGGATGAAGTTGTAGGACGTATCCTCTTAAAGTAGTGTTTTGATAACCCTAAATTTAAATTGATATATTAATGATACAAGAACCTAACCTGTACCTTTCACTAATTGACAACATCTAACAACATGGGTATGGGGATGATCAATAGCAACATCAAATCCTAATGTTTGTAAGAGGACATTTTCGTTGAATACCAGGTCTTGCGCCTGTTCGAGAAATTGCTACAAGTAATAATACAGCATGAACATCCATGTTGTATAATAGAATAAAAAGACCATCTTTTATAAATTGTTAAAACTGAATTGAATAGAATGAGTTTACCAGAAATGTAGATTTTATCTACATTTACCTCAGACCTAACGTCAGGTGGAGGTTGATCTCTGTGGAGGCACATGTGTGCCATTTTGATGACATGTTCTAATTTCCTTGGTTGCTCCTCTACTTTTGCTGCTAAAAAGATTGCTGCCACTGCAATAGCATTCCTGTGGAAGTGCGTCAGCGAATGGAACACATAAAATCGGTGCATGTAGACTATAGCTGTATTGATACATAATTGAGATCTGATTTTTATTTATATTTTATTAAGGAAAATACTTTTCTTAGAAATATTCACAGAAATTTAAAATATTTAGGATTAGTTAAGGATAAGGAATACATTTTTGCACATATATTTTCCAATTATATTGATCCTAGAAATAAAACATTATATTAATTTTCAAGAATGTTCTCTTATTGCAGAAGTATTATGATATAAATATCATAGTACGTTTATTATCCATAAAATTTTATCCATAAAATCAATACAATTACAAAATATACATGTACAAAAAAAATATTTCTTCAAAAATCCTATATCTCCCATAATGATTTGGAAAAGGAGACATTATCGTAATCTCTGTACAATATAAATGAATATTGTATAAACAAATGCAAGAAACAAATTGGATTTCAATACATTGGAATCTTATATATCACATGTAATGTAAATAATTCTATTTACATTAACAGGATTGTCGCAGAAAATGAATTTAAAAATTTCTGACTTTTCCAGATTTTCCAGATGAAAATGAAAAATTTTCATGACCAATATAAAATATCTAAATTTTAACATCCGGTATAAAGTATTATAAGAAAGCTAGCTATTATTATTAAAAACAATGCAAGAAGTTTAATAGCATAATAAAAATTTTGGGAGCAAATTTAAGTCAACAAAAAATAAATTAGTATTGAAAAAAAAAGAATGCAGTTATGGAAAAAAGGCGATCAAATAAAAATAAATAAAATATAAATTTTAATTATTTTATTAAAATAATTTAAAGTGCGCGAGTTTTGAACATATTTAACTATAAACGTCAGATATAATATTTAAAAAATTATAACAATTATTTGGAATAGGAGCGGTTTAAAGGAATTGAGCAAATTTCAAAATTTCAGACTTTTTTACATTTTCTTCTGACTTTTTCAGATTTTCCCGGTTTTCCAGGTCTGTGGCAATCCTGATGAATGAATGTGATTAAAAACTATGTAGCAAAATATGTTAAATTGGTCAAGTATATACCACAAAAATGTTTATTCTTTGTGCAAAATTATACATATAATATATATATATATATATATTTCTCACATAATGTATAATCATTGAGCAATGATAAAACATTTTGACAATAAAATGTTAAAACATGCTGCTCTTAAATACTTAGTGTATTTAGCATTGTACATAACTAGGTACCGAAAGAATAACCTGACTTAAAATCCAGAAAAATGTGCATGCTGTTACCCGCAGTACTATCTGTGTAGACATAATAACG